TTGGTTTTGATTAGTACGGGTATCGCGGTGTATAGTATGTAAGATTTCTGTGTTGATAGAGCGTGACGGTCCGTTAGTGGTGAGGTCACCTGGAATTGAGGTCATAGTCCTATGTGTGTTTCCAGTTGGTTCTTCTTCTTGTGTGTAGGGAGTTCATTTTGTCTTAGGTGAGATTGGGTATCCATGGTTGGACGATTGGTGAGTAGCGTGTGATAGGGTGTCGGGTGGATTTAGGTATGAGTGGTCAGTCTTTAGTGAGAGCGGGGTCGTTACCATTTCCATTTGCTCTACTCCTGGCAAGGACGTCATTTGTCATAAGTCTTGTTCTGCGTTTACGAGTTATACGCGTTCGTGGGTGGACGAACCTGTATGTGGTTGTTACGTTGTTAGAGTTCATTGGTAAAGGTTTGGTTAGTTTGGTTGACTCACTCCCACGGAGGGAGATAAAGTCATTGGTTTTTAGTAGCATTTGTTTTGCGAGTGGTCTTGATCGGTGGAATGTGAGGCACGAGTTGTCGAATACGAATTATGTTTTCGGTGTTTGGTACTAGCAGAGATGGCTAGGGAATGTGTATTGAACAGCAGTTTGAGGACGATTAGGTGATATGATGTGAGTCATGTACTCAGAAGTTTTTATAGGCATTTGATTCGAGTAGTGCCTTGAGGACAAGTGTCGATGTTGTCTTAGAATTTTGTGATTAGAGAAAGTGAATGTGTGATTCTATTGAGGAATAATAGGAATGATTGACTTTGGTTTTGAGATTTCAGGCATGAAATAGTTACATTGTGTGTTTTGACGAGGTAAGAATTGAATCGAGTAATGCTATGGAGTTGTTTACCTGGTATGGGTGTTAAGAGGAGATTAGAGATCTTTTATGCTAGTTGATGACTGTGGTATTTGGTGCCGTATTGCTTTTTTTTTTTAATTTTATTTTTTTATGGTTGTTTGATTAAAATATGATTGGGATTTTTAGAGCAGGTATATGACTGTATAGTTGTTGAGGTTACGTAGGATGATGGATTGATAGTGAGTGGATCTCATGGTTGTCTTGTGGACTGTGTAAGAGTATGTTTGAGGTTGGACCTGAGGACAGGAATGATGTCTGTGTCGGGTGATGAGGTGTGTTAGGTGGAATCAAGTATTCGATAAAGGTTTGTGGTGCGACCACTTGATTATCAAGGATTTGTTTTGAGGATTGTGTCCTGAGTATGGGATAGTGCGCTATACTATTTTGGTGACTAATGTCTATGCAGCCGTTGGGGATTCATTGTTTAGCAATCTTGAGGTTATAGGTGTAATGATTGTCGTATAGTGGGGGTATTAGTCGTTGGTAAGATTATGAGATGGTGTAGATGTGTGTTAGATGACGAGTATTGGTTTGATAGTGATATGTAGATTTGAGTTTGAGCTTGATTGTGAGATGGATAAGGTTCCTTGTCTGGGATTTTGTGTATCCTTTAAAGGATGAGTTGAGTTAGGATGTTGTCATGTTCAGGGGTCTTGTGACCATTCTTCTTTCGAGCTTTGAAACCTTGTGTAGCGGTGTAGAGGGGACCAGTGTTGGTTTAAGTCGAGTGTTGAATCCAGCGGGTTTTATGTATAATGTTGTGAGTGGTGAGTACCCTCATAGGGTGGTGAGCATTGGGTCCTTCTGGCAGTAGTGTGTGATTACCTATTGGCGCCGGGTTAAAGGCAATAAGGTTGTTGAGTTCCTAGTCTTACAGTTTGATGAGGTGTTTCTCGAAAATGTGTGTGGCTGTGGGCCTCCTTCTTTAAGGAAGGTAGATTTCGGAGACGAAATCTTTTAAAGTTGGGGAGAATGTAGTATTATGACTTATATATATATATATATGTATTAAATGGAAAAAAAAATGGCGGGGACCCACCATTTTATTCATTTGTGGTTAAGAGGCATTTTGGCCTTACCTTTTTCTCTTTAACTCTCTCTCTCCCGGCAATTCTATCATTTCCTCTCTTTATTTTCATTTTTATTTTCTTTTTCATTCAAAGCTTCAACTCTTGATTAATCTTCAACCGGTGAAAATTTTTGGGTGCTGTTTGCGGCAAATCAAAGAGCTTGGCGAGATCTTCAAGTGGGTGCAAGCAATTTTAGTTTTGGTACATCCTAGGAATTCTGAAAATTTTGACCCATTTAAGGGTTTTCTACAAAATTGAGGTAGGAGTGTTCTAATCCATGACTTCTTAGATTTTTGTGAATTTTTCTTTTTAATTTGACCATAAGCATGCTTAATTTTAATTATCTTGTCCATTGCTATGTGGTTGTATGTGCGCAAAATGACAAATGTGTTTTACATGCTAATTGGGTTATATACATGGCTATTTACATTATTGTGAAAAAGCATGCTTAATTTTGGTATATTGTGTGACTTGTGAATTCTCAATTGTTATGGAAATTGATGTTGTAGTTATGAAATAATTGTTTTGAATTTCCTATAAAAAATAATAATAATAAAATGATGATGATGTAGAAGAGCATGTAGAATTTTATTGTTGAATTGTGCTTAGAAGTATGAACCATTTATGCATCCATTGGGAATAAAAGAGAAAGGGAAAAGTGTTACAGAAAACAAATGAAATTGTTTTTGGGAAAAAAAAAAATAGAAATGTGTTTGCAAAAACCGGATGCCTAGGAGGCGCCTAGTGGTCCGTGGTGTTAGTGTAGTCTAGAAGGGAGTGTGGTTGAGTTAACTAGGCCGGATGCGACACCTTAGAGGTGCCTTGTGGTCGTGGATAGTTAGTCAATCCTCCTTTCATGACGTCTTCGAGGTGCCTTGGGTTGGATTACATTAACGGTTTGGAAGTTGAAATGGAGATATTTCGGATAAGGGGAGCGACATGGGCATGGCATTGCATTTCATTGTCATACATGGTATACTTGTGACTTTGATGACAATTGTGATTATATTTGACGTTGTGGTTATGGATTGTATTCCTTTATAGTATGATCCCGTTCTCTTAATTTCTATTCTATATGTGGATTCACGGGGTCATAAGAGGTGTATCTTAGACACCTCCTACTGAGCTTATGCTCACTTCATTATTTAAACATTTTTTAGGTTTGGGAAAGGGAGTGGTGGACGATATTCCTCTACAGGTTTTGATGGGTTAGTGGACTGTTTGACCTATTTTGTAGCTATGATCTCATATTATTATTATTATTATTATTTATAAACCTTGGGATGACACGTATATTATGTATTTCCATAGGAAAGAATGGTAACGTCTTTTGTTAACCTCGGGTTCGGGTAAAGACCTGGTTAGTGATTCGGACCCTCGGGTTCGGGTTGATACAACATGGCTCTAAATTAATTTTACATTTGAAATACAACGGAAAAATATAAATTACATTATTGAACTTTCAAATGGCTAAATCAAAGCCTTAATTACATTCGTCTAAAGATAAAATTACATTTAATTAATCTATAAGCTTTATCCATGGCCCAAGTATGCATCATCATCATCCAATCACAAATATACATATATCATCATCATATATTAATATATACATATGCATGTATAAATTTGGATCCATGAATGATGATTTTCTTAAAAAAAAATAAAAATGTGATCTCTAGACATGAATCAAATCTAACTCTGATACCATTGTTGGGGAAACAGAAGTTTTAAAAACTTTTAGAGGGATTTTCAAATAAAGATATTGATTCATGTGTAGAGACAAGTTTTTTGCATAAAGAAGATAATGATCCATTCAATTAAAGATAGAAAACTTACATCAAGTTTGAGTAAACCTTAAATCTTTCATCTAAAGTGAATGTTCTCTCTTATTGTAGATCTCTCAGCTATACGCCTCTTCCTTATTCAGCCATCTTCTTGGTAGTGATCTTGCCTTTAGGAATCACCTATAAACCTTTATGAATGACCTTGGAGAGCTAAGCTTGTGGGAGCCTCCATTAGATTAGAATACTAACCTTAAAATCTTAGAGAGAGAAAATATTTTTTTATCTTCCAAAAAATTAATGCACAAAGGTGTAATCTAAAATATACATGGACCCATGTATATATAGGCAAAATAAAAATAAAAATTGAAGACAATATTTTTCTCAATCTCTAAAATTCACGTGATATCTCAAATCTAATGGGCCTTCAATATCAACTTGGGCTATGGGTGAGAATCCCTTGGGCTTGCTATTTTCTTGGTTACAGTGAATTAATAATTGGCCCGGTCCATTATACCATGGCCGGACCCAATTTAATTAATTCATAAATCAATTTCTACTCCACTAAAAGAAATTAATTGAACTCCAATTAAATAATAAATAACCTCTAAGTCAATATTGCATTTTGACCCCTCTATATATAGTTAGTTATCAGATAAATAAAGCCATCAATCCGACTATTAAATTAATATATTTATTTTGGTACCTTCGATTATTTCCGACTTGATCACAATAAAAATTTGTTTGACAACAATAATAATTTAAATAAATAAATATATAGAAAATCATTTTGTCTAAAACACATGAAGACCTTCGAATTTACTTTGTGATCAACCATAATCAATACAAAATAAATACAAGTAGTAATGATGTTAATATTGAAAATATAACCCTCTAACTATTAATTACATAATTACCCAAAGTGCCTGTCTTTGAATTCTGAAGTATCCGCCGAACAAATTAAAGTAATTAGTAATTAATAAAAGAGTCTATACTTTTCTCTTACTTAAGAATCAAATACAATGACAGTGATAGGGAGCAATTGCATAAAATGTCTCTCGCAATATATTTCAACTTAACGTGGATCCGGTTTATGTCATAGTTAATTAAGAGTTTATCCATAATTACCGACTATGAACTATTTATGATTACTAAAAATTTTACATACATATAAATATCTCTTTTAATCAAGTGGACACTATCAATTCCATAATGGATCGAAACATAATATATTGAATTCACCAATTGTATAAAGCATAAATATTTCAGATATGTTAGGAACATATGTCACTTTAATCCAATTAGGAATTCACTATGCCAGTGCATACAAATCTCAACATTCCCCAAGTTAAAACAAGTAAACTTTTCAGTTTCAAATAGCAAGAAAGTCCTAGAGATGCTTCTGAGACTTTTGAATACAATGACAGAGCAGATAAAGTATATCAAATCTTTGAGTACAATCAAAGAGATAGTTTTTAGTTTGAAACAAAATGTCTTGGAATATGAAATTGTTATCTGGCTTCAATCACTGAAAGTGTTATAGTATTCACTGAATTGTTTTCAGCATTGCTAAGTGACGGATTTGTATTCATCACACATTGGCCGATAGAAAATGCAAGTTCCTTAGGTGTTGGTAGAGGTGCATATTCATTACTAAGCATTGAGACAACATCAGACATGGTAGGTCGATCATTTGCATTTCCTTGGACACACAGAAGCCCTATGTTAATGCATCTCAACAATGTAGTAGTAGAAGAAGGATTTTTACCCAATATTGGATCCACCAACTCCATCCCTCTATCAGCACTCCACAACTCCCACGCCTGAAACATTCAATTATATAATTTATAAGTATCATGTACAATTTAATCTTAAATCATCATTTTTTCTAGATAGAAGAAGTTTGAATAAAAAGCAAAGGAAATGTATGTTAGCTGCTTACGTATCCAAGGAGGTGAAGAGAGTCATTGTGATAAAAACTAGTGTTCTTCTTGCCACTCACAATCTCAAGCAATAATACTCCAAAGCTAAACACATCAGATTTTATTGAGAAAAGGCCCTCCATTGCATATTCAGGAGACATGTACCCACTAAATTTTAACATACAATAGAACCAGTTTGAGTAACTCGTAGGAGATCTTTCTTTAAGATATCGTATCTAAGTTGTGCATGTGTTAGCAAAGAATTTTTCTTGTACTTACAAAGTTCCAACAATACGGTTTGTGTTTGCTTGTGATTCATTACCACCAAATATTCTTGCCATGCCAAAATCTGATATTTTGGGGTTCATTTCGCTATCCAACAGAATGTTACTGGCCTTCAGATCTCTATGAATTATACGAAGCCTTGAATATTGATGTAGGTAAAGAAGTCCTTGAGCAATTCCTTCAATGATGTGAATCCGTGTACTCCAATCCAACATCCCTTGTTTGTTTGGATCTGTCTTGAGTTACACATTAATAAACATAAATTGAATATATATATATAAGTTTAAACAAATATTAAATATGGGAGAACACTAACCAAATAGAAAGAAATCCAAACTTTTGTTAGGCATATATTCGTAGATTAATATGTTTTCATCTTGCTCAATGCAGCAACCCAAAAGTTTAACAAGATTCCGATGTTGGAGTTTTGCTATCAATACTGTCTCATTTTTGAACTCTTGGAGCCCTTGTCTAGATCTTCCGGAAAGCCTTTTCACTGCTATTTCTTGCCCCCTTAGTAAATTACCCTGTTTAAGGAAGAGGAGGAGGAGGAGGAGGAGGAGGGGGAATGAAGAAACATGTGTAAGTGCAGATGAGGAAGCCATCTTATCACCAAGTTGACAGGGAGGCCAAATCAAGTTGTTAAATGAATAGTTTTCAACAAATAATTTGGAGGATTCCAAAATTATCATTTGTGCTAAAGTAAAGCGCTTCAGTTTATTTCTTAAACATTTACCTTGTAAACAGGTCCATATCCTCCTTCTCCGAGCTTATTTTCTGCGGAGAAGTTACCTGTTGCAGCAGAGACACTCGCAAAGCTAAACATTGGCAACTCAACTTCCTTCTTCCCGCTTCTCCTTAGATTATTCCCAGCGTTTGTCTTGGCATCTGCATTAGCACTAGCACTAGCACCAGAATTAAAATCAAATAATAACAAGTCCTCACTTGAATCTTCCTTCCCTGTTTATCACAGAACAAGAAGCCATTGTCAATTATTTGGAAATCACGCTTTTTTGAAAGATATTAAGTTCCTAAAATTGACAATTTGTGGTAATTCTAATGTATGTTTGCTTAAATGTAGCTTTTTAATGAGGTTATGTTTTCATTTCCTAATTAATTTAAACACATCTTATACCCATTAGTTTGAGCTTCCTCCTGATTAAACAGCATATGAAGCCACCAGAAATAAGTAGTACTGCTAGCGAAACCAGCACTGTTAGGATCACCTTCAAGTTCTTCCTGGCACCTGAGACGGTTATAATAGAGTATGGTTAATAATAATTGAAAACAAAATATGTAATTTGCAGGAAGGCATTTATGGCAAATTGCAGCCACATACCTCCAGCTTTCGGAAGCTCAGAAGCAGCTAGTTTCAGATAGAGATCTTGTTTAGTACTGCTGCTTCCATCTAAGAGTTGTTGTAGATTCAGTAAAGCCCCTTCCCACACTAAACAACCATTACTAACACGAGCATAAGCTGTGCAAGAACAATTTTGCTTGCAAGCTGATCTACACCGTTCAAGGCTTCTATCAGGAAGCACTTTCGAATTTTCTGGAAATGCTGTGTTTGGAATTTTTAAGAATCCATCAGTCACCCCATTGGTACCATTTTGGCACTCCAGTGGGGTCTTTCTCACACAACCATCTGACCAATCGTTTAGCTTCGTGTCTTCAACTGAGAATGGCTCAAAACCTGGCAAACATTCACAATAAGAGGTCTGATTCTCTCTGGAGGTCAAATTCTCTCTGGAGATGCCAAATGTCCCGCAAAAAGCATAAACTTTTGTTTGGAGGGGTTGCTCCCAAAAAGTTTCCCAATCCCATCTGTGAACGACCCATGATGTTAGAATCCTCAATTTTCCCGACGTATCCATCACACATCTCATTAAAAAAGAAGTAGAATTCACAGTAGAATATGTAGTGTAGCTTTTGTTTTCATTTGATATGAAAGTGTATTTGAAGAACATATAGATCTCCGATCTGGGAAGAGAGCTAAAACTATGACCATTCCAAGCTCCGGTGCTCCAATATCTTTTGGACTTGTTCCACTCTAGAACAAATTGATTTCTTTCGATTGGATCTATCCCGTATGAAAACCTACCAGGAGCAGGATCTTCTGAATTTTTCCACGAAGTTAGGACCTGAGTTTTGCCAGTATGTTTATCGATGCCAAGCTTTGCACCAGGCAGCAATGTATCTGTGGGGTGATCATAACTCTGCCAATATATTGTAGATGGATTTGAAGCGTCTCTAACTACAAAATTTCCATTATCTTGAAGCACTGCTTCAGTGGAATTTCGTAGAGGTGACACAAAATTTGTTGACCAAATTGGTTTCCTTGAAAAATTGGTGAACATGACTAAGTTACCATCACTAGAGAACTCGAGTTGTAAAGAAGACTGTTCAGACAATGTCTGTTCTCTGTTAGCTACCCAAACTATGATGTCATCAAATTTTTTGTACCATATGCCAAGGTAGAGTTTAGGAGGAGTACCTTTTTTGAAGAAACCGAGTTCAAAAATGCTACCTTGGGACACTATAGTCTGGCTTACTAATAGAGACTGGTTCATTGAAAGAGTATCACCACCTCCAATAGAGAAACACGAGTTGTGTAACAGGAGCAGAAGCAGAACACAGAGAGAAACAGGAGTTGTTATAGTGCCACTGGCCCTCATTAGTTGCCACATCTTGAAAGAAGAATGAGAAGGAGAAGAGACCTCCAAATAGATATCTTTGCAAAAAATGTTCCTCAAGTTCAAGGTCTACACGTACAGATCACAGACGCGTCCATACATTTACTTCTCATGTTCGAAGTCTCTGCCAATTATTCAACAAGTCAACCCTTAAGCTCAAATTGAGTATCCGTAATTTTTTTTTTTACTTAACGTGTATTATCTCTTATGCGAGTCATTTTAAACAAGTATTATGTAATATATATTGAACTACGTTACTAGGGCTTAGTTGAAAAAGACTTATGTCCTGGTGTCTCATGACTCATATGATCCGAATTCTACCCAATAAGAAGAATTTGTCCTTGCTACTTTTCTCATGCATTTGTTTTTTTTTTTCTTCTGTTAATGTAGTATTTTTCTTACTTAAGTTGTAACCAAGAGTTACGATAAAAAGAAAAAATAAAAATAAAAAAATAATAATAATAATAATATATGGGAAGCGAGTAAAATTTTCAAATTAACTTTGTTTCGAGTCACGAAAAAAACAATACCATTAAAATCACAAAAAACATGAAGTTGCAATGACCCATATAGTATTTTTTTTTTATTTTATTATTAATTTTTATTGTTGTCCTGTCAACAAACTCACACAATTGCATGTACCTACTGAAACTTGTCCCCTTGTCCTTCTACTTTGAAGGTGAAAAAATATCACTAGGTTACAGTTATTTGTGATGTAAATATAAATATTCAAAAAGTAATTAGTTGTCTGTCTTATAAATTTTATTTGTGCAACTACTGGTTATGAACATAATTTCATTAATTCTTTTATCTTGGCTGGTGTTGATTCTTCAACATAATTTGCTAGGAAGTAGTCTGTGGACAAACAATTTAATGCGGGTGGTTTTGTAGGTACAAGTTCATTTGAATGGAAACCACAGACCAATAGCTTGATGCCGGTCCTTCTCATGGGGCAGACAATGAGGGACAAGTTCAATGGAAACCAAGTCTTTGATGAGCAGTTGGATTCTTTTATTGTCATTAAAATCTCTGAGACCTAAAATTAAGTTTGGTAGTTGACCTAGTTTGATGGATTTTTTTTTTAATGTATTAAATTCACCCTGAAAAATTTTGCACTCCTAATAATGCTGCAGTAGAGTTCCATCAATATCACCCAAAGTTGCAACTTTCCCCATAAGCCTAGAGCCTTTGTTCTTCGATTAAGGCGTCATTTGACATAGCTTTTGCTTCTACTTTTATTCTGAAGAGGAAGTGAAGCAGAAGTTAGCACTTCTATCTGGCTTATAAATAGTGTTTGGAAACTGTATTTTAAAAGAGTTTTTATGAATACAAAACTTTTTTTTGTTTGTTTGGCACAACATTTGTTAAAGCTCTTTTACTATTAAAATAACGATTTTGTCCTTAAAATGGTGCATTGCTGGTCACATCTTCAACTGTGAAGAGATATTGAGATAATTAATAGATCATCAAAATAAATACGCAAAGCATAATTGCTTCGAGAGTTGTTTAAATAAGTTACTCACACCAAAATCAAAAATTGATATTTGGGATACAACTTATCATTAATTTTATATTTTTAGAATACAATCTTAATTTTTTAATGATAAATAAGGATAAATCGGCCAAAGGCATGAATGAGGCTGCCAATGTTGAGTCTGAATACAAGCACTAGGATCCAACAAAGTTGTAGCAAACATGTTAGCTAGATGGAACTCATGTAAATGAAAAACTGCTCTATCCATTATAGCAACTGGATCCCATCAAAGTCCATATAAAACCTCTGATAAACTGTTATATCCATTATATTCCTACTTTTCCAAATCTGCCAAGAAATAGAATATGCAAGACTAAACAATTTGGTAGATGCTGGAACACCACTCCATATTATTATTCAACCATTCCCACCTTTGATATCAAGCACCATCACAACTGTCAACATTTAGCCTAAGTAGTGGGAATCTAAAACTATAATGAAAAGAAAATCATTCACTCTTCTTTCTGTTAATAGTTATTTCTTCAAACAGGTGGTGGGAAGTGAAAAGAAAATCAATTCACTCTTCTTTCTATCATAGTTATTTTAATCAAACAGGTGGTGGGAAGTGAAAAGGAAATCGATTTTCTATTATATTTCTTTCATCAAACAGATGGTGTGCACCAAAAATTATAATGAAAAAAAAATCAATTGCCATTGACATGGTCTCTAAAGTGGATCGATTGTTATCAACATGTAAGAATTTAAGAAATAGGAAAAATAATAATGTAGAATAAATCCTAATGTGAAGTTAAGAATTCAAAATCATAATAGTCTACCTGTACAAACCAAACTCGAACATATTTTTAATCTGACTTCATCAATTTAACACTAGAAAATTCAAAAAATGCATTTCAATTTCATGTTTGTATCCAATATGAGAATATTGTGGCCGGAATACTGTCGGGTGAGAAAATCATTGCCGGTGTCGAGAGATAATCAACGGAATCGTGAGAAACTAGGCAGCGTGAGCAAAACGTTGACGTCTTGAAGAAAGAATCGCCGAAATTAAACAAAAAAGCATTGCCGAAGTTGGTGACAGGATGTTCTCCTAAATTTGTGGCTGTGGATGGTCATCCGTCCCAATTGAATGCCGCCGGTGGATGTGAGCGTTGATGCTATCGTCGGAAAAAAACTTAGAACCGAAGATTAAAAGAAATCGCCGGAGAAGACAAGTGCAGAAACCTAGGAGATACATTCGTGAATTGGCATCAATGGCAAGGGTTTTGCTTGGGACATGATTGGAATAAACATTTGTTTACCCATAAAACAAAGGGCACGATGGGAATTATAAAAGTTTCACTAAAATAAGAAACGGCTTCCCGTGTCTCTCTTGGAAGAGTGTTTTCCAAAAGCTGTCCCCTACCAGATTCGCCTAGAAGAGATTAAAAATGTCAAAAGCTCTTCAGCTAAGCAATCCAAACACCTTTGAAAATGACTTTTGGACTTTGAAAGAAAAAAGCACCATTTGAGACACAAATCCTAATACCTTCAAATTATTTTTCAAGGATCTTAGTTGGTTAAACTAAATTACATGGTTTTGAAGAAATTTTAAACACACGTGAATGTTTTCTTAATTTCTTAAAGGAAATCAATTTTTATAATTATATAGATGTATAAATACAAACATATATGAATGTTCTTTTAATTTCTTAAAGAGAATGGAAGGCTCAATTCGCAAAAGCAGACAACATTAGAAGCCAGATGGAATGTGATTAGGAATTTAGGATGTTTTGTGTTGCATCTGTTGGTACGGCGGGTCTTGCGGGAGGAATCGTGATTAATTTCACAGGATCAAATATGGTTTTCTTCAGCTATGTCACTTTCTTGGCATTCCTTTCTAATTCTATGAGTAGATTTATATTTCAGAGGTGCCACTCCGATCTCTGACTTTATTTAGAGAAAGTTTTATACAAATGAAACGTTAAAAAGCACTTGGTGAACAAAATATTAAATACATAGATACAGATTTTCCGCTCAATCAAATATGGGTGTGCACTTAGCTATGTTACATTACACTATTGGAGATACTGGTTATACATAGCTATTATGCCTACATTTGATATTTATAAATTAAAGACAGTAAATTGTTCAATGGAACTTCAGGACCTCTTTGCCTTTTCAGAATGTGAGATCTAATTACCAAATTGTTGCAACGTCGTAAACCAGTGATCATGCAGAGTGTGATGACCATGGCGAAGCTTAAATTTGCATTTTGTTCAGTAGTTATTTCAAATATTCTTTACGCATTATTTGGCATCATGCTCACAATACACAATAGTTTCTGTAAACATGCATTCATTCACGTCAATTGTGCAGTCTGATAGTCTTAAAATTTCACAAAACTGTAGTATTTCTTGTAGTGACTTTTATAGATTGCAACAGAACAATGATGCCCATTTGAAACATCATGGCCAGTTTGATGATTTTAAATTGAACTGATTAGCGTACTCAATTTGAGAGTTTGACTATCATTATATAGAAGCAGAAAACTACAAATATGGAAAAAGAATAAAAATCAAATCAAGAATAAAAATCAAATCTCTAAACAAAAGCCTAAAATGAAAACCTAATAAATCTGTCACCATCATCGAGTCAATCTATAGATATGATTTCCAACATTCCCCCTCAAGCTGGAGCAAATATGTTGACCAAGCCCAGCTTGACTATGGAAGACCGAAGAAGAGAAGGCCTAACATGCAATATTTTTTATTTTTGTCATTTTTCATTTACTGGAAATTTATGAATTTTTCGAGAGCATTTATGTCCTTTCTCGTTTTGCGTGCTGAACACCGTGGGGTGTGCCAGGTGTGTCCGAGAGTTGGTTGGGGCATTTCTTTGAGTTCAGGACTCTTAGAAATGTAATGGTTATAATTTCGTAATTTTTTTCGTTTTTCGAGCCAGACGGTCTAGTGTGGGACCCGCTATCGGGATTCTTATGTACGGGAGTTGTGTCACGGGTCCACTACATACCATGCATAATTATTTGGTGCATATTTAAATGGTTGTGTGTCATTTTATGTGGGTGTTGTTTAATTGAATTATATATATATATATATATATATATATATATATATATATATATATATGAATAGAAAATAAGTGAGATATTTTTCATTGGTGGGACCCACTACCAATTGCTCCAACTTTTAATGGCCAAAGAGGCCATTTTGGCCTCATTTTTCATTCTCTCTCCCATAAGCTCTCTCTCTCTCTCTCTTTCTGTTCTTTTTTTCTTTTTCTTTTTTTACAATTTCAAGCTCCAATTACTCTATCATCTTTTGGAGATTGTTGGTGCCATTTGCGGCAAGTTAAAGAGCGCGTCGAGATCTTCGATTTGATCGGAGCCAATCTCCGTTTGGCCACACTTGGGATTTTGATTTTTAGGGCATTAATTGGGGCTTTTCTACAAAATTGAGGTAAGGGTCTCTAATCCATGTATTTTTGTACCTTTGTGAGTTAATTCTATGTGATATATTGACAAACATGCTTAATTTGTATATGAAGTATATGATTTTGTGTATTAGTTGATATTGTGCAAATTAATATGCTTAATTGGTAATATTCCTTGCCTATTATGTTTAGAATTTAC